ATTATATTATTATTATTATTATTATTATTATTATTATTATTATTATTATTATTATTATTATTATTATTATTATTATTATTATTATTATTATTATTATTATTATTATTATTATTATTATTATTATTATTATTATTATTATTATTATTATTATTATTATTATTATTATTATTATCATTATTATTAATATTATTATTATTACTATTGTTATTGTTAATTATTATTATTATTATTGATGGGATGATGAGAAGGATATAAGAAAGGTGTTTTGAATGTTTCAAATTTGTTACTCAACTATGTTCGCTAACATTTGCGCTGTTGATTAGTGTGCTACTAGTAAAGAAATAGCTGCTAATAATTCGCTGAAATTCTTTTCTGCCTCAAAGTACAGCCGAACTTTTAAAATTTTTGTTTTGCTTCCCGGTAGTATGGATTTAGCCGATAACCACCAACCCTGTGCCATCTTGTATTCGTACGGGAAGTGAGCTTTCCAATCACTGCCACTAAAAAAGTTGTAAGGTTTCCAAAGAATAATTAGAAGGATACAATTGCTTTTCTTGAGCACATCGTAACTAGCCAGTCAGATGATGAAAGTAAATGACATCATAACCATCAATCATTTTTAGGTAAACTATCATCGCCCTTCATAAGAGATTCTGTTTGGTGAGCGAAACTGAATAAGAAATTGAAAAAAGAATTGATCGAGATGATCAGAATTGATGGGCCTCAAGCACATTTAGGACAATTATAAATATAATAAGCCCAGTGCACGGTGCTTTTAATCTACCGCTAATTTTAATGAAGTCAAATAAAATAGGTTTGATATAATTGCTATTATTTCCAACACTTCGAAAATACATTTTTGGGTGAATGTTTGGTTTGAATCTGAAGTGACCATTAAGTGAAGAGAGCAAACTTTATGGATGAAAATGCAAATGCAATATTAGCAGTTACTCTGAAAACAGGCCCATATGTAACTCATTATTTATTGTAGATTAGAGGTGCTGAATTAGCTGAAAGAGAATAACAACTCTTTGAAGTGCGGAAATTAATTTGCATATCACCACGCGTTTTTTAACTTCTCTGCATTCACTTTTTCTAAAAGTGAAGGTCCAAATGAACAACTATAATTGCAAATTAGACATGTCTCATAATCACTGATAATCATATCAATAAGTCATCCTGCTTAGATGATTAGTTATGGATGTGCAATCATTTCCATGTCTTGTTATTTTTGGTTCCTCTTACTGCTATGGACAGCATTAGTGAACCACGCCTTTCATTCCCGCGGTGTTAGTGACACGTTATGAAATCGAACTGTCCTTCACAACCTGATTCTTAGGAGGAGGACGGACTTCGTTCTTGGGCCGCCCCTTTGCATCTATTTGAGGTGTATTTCAGTCGTATATTCATCAGCACCTCTTGCGTAAGAGTGACAGAAGAGGACCGATTCTTTGACCGATTCTTCGAAAGCCTAGTCTTCCTAATTTGCAATCTCCCATCCGGTTCAGTTAGGAAGGTATTTTAAAAGTATCCGTCTTGTGTTTCAAATACTTCTCTAGATATTTTACATTCTTTCCGTTCCCCTCCCCGTTCACTACCACAGCTACTGGTCACTTATCGTCAGAAATCACCCTCTGTGGACGTTGCTAATTCCAAGTTCTACCCTTCCTGCAAGCGAAATTTGCCATCAGAAACCAGAATAATAAAACAACAATAAGAAGTATCTGACAAACGCTCCCAGATACATTTATTACGTGAAATACGAACTATATTGTAAAGCTCTTATTTTGAACCATTAATAAAATTTACATTGGTATTACCAAACAACTTGAAATATACGATGTGGTTCAAAACAAACGTTATTGTGGTCATATATTTCATTATTGGCCTGAATGCGAAAGAGATAAATGCTAACATAGAAAAACATATGGAAGCTGGAGAATTAAATAGCAAAGATTTGAAAACGAGACGCATTGTAAAGCAAGCAAACGCGGAACGGATGCGGCAACAGTATCGTCGAAGTAGTGGTGATGATGCGGATGAGCAGCTAAAGTGGCTCAATGCGAATGAAATGTACAACTTGGGTCATATTGCGTTGCTGCTCAATGAGAGAGATGGTTTTGATGAAACACTTATTTCTACACCGTCGAAGAAAGCCATTACAAGTCGACTTTGTGGTAGCAAATTAGTGGAAGCAATCATCAAACTGTGTCATGGTTGTGTGAAACCTATTGGCGGCAAAGCCGTTAGTGCTAAACGATGTAAGTTAAATTTGACTTCACTTAATGCTATTTTTGCATATTTTCAGTATTATTTAATAATCTTTAGTGAATAGTGTTCACATCACAAAAGGAAAATTCCAATTTTTTTTGCAAAATTCCAAAATTCAAAAATTCCAAAAGGAAACTAAATGACGGTCATGTTCATTTACTTTATGCCTTCATTAAAACAGTCCTAGTCCATTCTTATTTTACAATCGATCGTTTATGTTGTTAATCACTGGCTTATTTGTATATGTTAATTATCATCACAAATCTCAGTTACATTACGGTGAAGAAGAGAAAAGAGAAAAAGGAAATGATGAATAGTTGAAGTTGAATAATTGAGCGTAGTAAGAATTGAAAACAAAAGTGAATTTAATAAACAGACGTTTGATGCGCGCTGAAGAATTAGACGTACTTCCGGGAAGAGAAAAGCAAAGATGTCAATATTAAGTCGGTGTTATACATAATGTTATACATATAATTAGAATGCATTCCACTTGTTATTCTTGCTTTTACGTGCTAATTGTATGATGCAGTTATAATTAGATGTGAATGTTGGATAACCTAATTCCTGTTAATAATTTCAGTTCTAGATTTAAATTAGTATAACCTATCCTTCGTAAATTTCTTGAAGTTTCCTTTTTTGCAGATCTTCTGGATTTCTCACATATTAACTTTTTGCATCTCATTTTTCCTTTTCTTTTTGAAAAGACTACAAGGCGAAACTTGCTAATCCAGAAAAATGAGCAATATGAGCTTCTGTTGCTACTTCTATTCAACAACCTAATGGTGTATTGTAGAAGAGAATACTGGTAGCTTTTATTTGAAATAAAATTCAAGCAGCAAAAGTTATCTGAGTAATTAAGTTGGATTAATTTGCTGAGGAACAGAGCTTTAAAGACGTCATACTTTCAGATTCATTTATTATTCGGCAGTTTTTGCTAATCATATTGACATTGAAGACGTATGGTAGCGGCTCTTATTTCCTTTCACAAATAATATTTCTAAAATCACTTTTTTAAAAGGCAAAATGATTTTCAATATTAAAACTTGGGAATTTCCAAGCATAAAAGTTGCCTGTCCAAGTTTATATTTAAGTACAAAATAATTTATTTCCTTTCAAAAGTAACGACGCAGTGTGATGAATTTACAAATTGTTCCATTAATCAAAAACTTTTTATACATACTGTTTATCATTAAAACCCCAAAAGCGTCAATACATTTCTAAAAAAAAAATTTAACTTAGACATATTTATGGAATTTGTCTGTAAAATATCTGCAGAATGAAATTCTGCTCCAAAAAAAGTTTCAATGATGAATTCATGATTTCAAATATGATGTGAAATCAGGCATGGAGTTACAATGAATAAATATTAAAACATAGTTAATTTTAACAACGGGGTGCTATTAGACTTTGTCTTCGAATACTACCTACCGAATCAACTTTTCATTTCTTAATAATAATATTACTGATAAAAGATTCAATGTTGATGAAAGGTTTTGTCATTTCTAACATTGTCGCAGGATATTGTGTAAGATTAATTATTTCCGAATCGTTTCCTGCATAAATTGCAAGCATCAAAAATCCCTTCAAACTGGTTATATAAGTTTTGCTTCTCTCTTCATTTTTACTAAGATCTTTTTTTGATGAATTCGGACTCAATGTTGAAAAAGTTAAGAAGATATTACTACCGAAAGTCTAAAAATCAAAACAGTGGAAGGATAATTTCTCTTCAGGAACGGGAACTATATTTTCTTGCATATATATATATATATATATATATATATATATATG